AGGTTAGTGGAAAAACGTTTATAAGTAACATTACCCATGTTGTTTGGCAAAATGAAATAGATATAGATGGGTCGTTTGTGAGCTTCTGTAAGAGAATTATGGCTCTTGTACTGACCCTGTCTTGTTTCTACTCTTTGTGAAAAACGTGGAGGCTTTTTCTTTGGACGGACTTCTGATTTTTTTGACAATTCATCACCATCAGTTTTACTTGTTCCTAGCTGTTTAATTAATGCAGTTACTGTGTAATCATTGACATTTTCCTCCATTATTTGATTTTCTGGATTTCCCCTATCTTTTATATGAATTAATTATATTGGTATTAATGTAAATTAATCACCGTTTATCCTGTATAATACTGACCATGTAACTGATCACAGTGCAGAACATTTCTCAGTACTATACTGGCAAAGTAAAGCAGATTTAAGTTACTCTTTTGAAATCATGATTAAGTTTTAAGTGATGATCGCTCTTCACACAAACTGTGGATTCTTCTGTTTTGTCTTTTTTTTTTTTTTAAACATAATAAATACTGCTAGTGTGCTAGAGAGCTCCTAAATGAAAACTCTTCCCCTGCCTGTAATCCCCTTGGAACACATTGTGTTTATATTTTGTTTGTTTGATATGTGTTCTTTTTTTGTAAGCTATAGTCCTGCACTATAATGAGACAACCTCACTGGAGGAGCCCCTGTCTGGTTTGCTTTTCAGCATTTCACTATGGTTTCTGCCCTTTCTGAAATTGAAAGGGTGTTCCCATTTCTTCCATGGAACTCTTCCCATTAATGATTTATCTAATTACTTTTTCAGCTTATTCACTTTCTAAGCGTCAGAGAGGGTGGTATGATAAAGGAAAGACAACATACAGAGAGATTAACTTTTGTCTTACAGTAAATTGTCTACTGTACCAAAGATCAGACCTCTAACTGTCTTGTTATTATAAACTGCTAAGGTGCTGGTATGGCCATTGATAACTTCTTTCACCATCCTGCGACATCAGTTTTTGAGACCTGGGTTTTAGCAAGTCAAATTCAAACTAACATGTTTCCTTTACACATAAAACATATGTTTTAGTAGATATACTTGTCCAGATCTCTGATACTGGAAATGAGCTGTATTAGAGAGCGAAGACAGTATCGTTTATGTTGTGTAGTAAGGCATGAGTAATTTTATAGTTTTTAGGGTAAAAATTATTTGGCCCTGAAAATATTTTGCTCTTGAAAATATTTAATGGTATTCTAACAGATGGGTGCATTCTAAAGTTGAAGAGTTACTGAAGTGATGTTCTGGAAGACCTGGCTGCTTGCATCTTATTTGCATTTGATGTATTCAGTACTGGCCAGGCAATACTGGACAGGCTTTGCTGCTGGTCTCCAAGCTGTCATGTCACAGCAAGCATTGCTGCTGAGTTAGTATAGCTGTTGTCAGCAGAGTACCTTTTGCTGAAAATATTCTGAAAATAAAGATGTAAAAGTAGTTTGATTCTTAATGTAGGATGCATGTCTTTTAAAGGAGCATATCTTTCATTCCCAATTTTATTCTTGCACAGTGTGTTTCATTCTTGTTTCCTGCACCTTGTTATTTTTAAGTGGTCTTGCAGTTGTGCACACAGGTACTCACAGGCTCACTCCCCCCTCTGCAGAAGACAGCCTTTGCTCTCCCTTGTCGGTGTCCTTGTGCACAAATTCTCCTTTTTTCTAGATGGATTTCTTTGCAGCTGCTTCAACTCTGATGTGATTTTTCTCCCAGCTCTCACTAAACATATGTGTACACACTGACCAAAAGGTTTGGAAAAGCAACTCTCTCAAACCTGTTCTTTAAAGAATGTTAAGTGTGCCACCAAGACACTGAGGGGCGTCATCCTTTTGGTCAGAAGGAACCTTTGTAACTCAGCTGTGTTCAGTCCTATTATATTTCTTGCTGCTTAAGCTTTTTTTTTTAATTTTGTCTTTAAGAAACATTTTATTTAGGTAGATGTTTTAGGGTAAATTGAGGGTGTGGGGCCATTCCTAATACAAAATCCTTTTTTCTTTTCTTTTTTTTTTTTTTTGTGGCACCACTGACAAACCCTGTGTAGAAAGCTTTCCGTATAAAGGGCAGGGGGAGAAGACCTGCATCCTGTCTTGTGGATGTCAAAGTAGGCATTTCTGCAGAAGCAATTGTACGGTATTTAATCTGATTCCCTTGCAGCTAGAATTGTAATGTGGTACTATGTTGCATTTCCTAAAAAAGTGCAAGTTATGTCTCAGATTTGACTTACACTTCTGTGTGTGTTTAAATAACAGTCTTTTTCTAGAAGTAGAGTTTAGGTATTTATTTGTAACATCTGATTTGGCCTGTGCAGGGAAAGTGCACAGATGTCATTGCCTTGTGGCTGAAGCTGAAATTTCAAATGTTTAAAAATAAACCCCAAAATTCCCTGTCCCTGTGAGGGCAGATTTATTAATTGAGGCTGATGTTTCTTTCATAGAGGTAAAATACACATTCAGCAGTTAATGGGGGGGGGGAGTTTTCTCCTGAACTCTCCCCATGAACCCCTTTTTATCCTCATTCTTCATCATTTTTTCCTCTTCAAACTGTACATCTGAAGCAGAAGCCTTACGTCCTTCTGCTGCACACTGTGTAGCTGGTTACGTGATCAACACAGCTCACCCTCTCACCAAGTAGGAACCTCTCTCTTCTGATGCTTGCTTGAACAGACAATGGGCTTTTTGAAAATAGTTCAATTTGTTAGGGTTATCAAATGACATCTATTTCAGACATGTTAAGAGAACGTTCTGAAGGAAAATTGTTGTCGTACATTTCTTCCTAATTTTGCTGTTGAGGGAAGGTCAGTGTTGTATAACTAGGAGTTGCATTAATGCAGTGTTCTTTATCTCTGAATGTGCTTAGTCGGAAGCAGAAAATCAATGTCTTTTCAGCCTTTGACTCCCTGAAGAAGGATTTTACTGCCTCATGTGGTGCTGTAGAGGATCCTAGTTTGTTTTGTTTGATCAGTTTCTTCTGAATGGCAATTCCTTTTAGCTTCTTGATGGAAAAATTATTTACATATATATATTTAAAATAAGATCTGAAACGCTTGAAAAATCAACGTATGAAACTGTCATCTCAATAGGCATTTTCTACATCCTGGGCTACTGTCATTTCAGTGCATACAGAGAAATGAACATGTTTCTATTAAAATTTTCTCCTCTTCCCCATGAGAAAATATCCGTAGATGGCACTTCACTGAGACACAGGCTTCTCTCCATTGGTAGGTATTGAAATTGTGGTAGACCTTTTGAAGGCCTTTAGCATCTTTCTAAGCTAGTTCTTGCATCCTGTTGCTGTCTCAAGTGTTGTAAAACATTGCAGCGGATATAAATTGGTATGCGTGATGTTTTTGCATTATCTTTGTTTCAGAGATTACTCGAGTTCTTAATTAATTCTACTTTTGCCTGCAGATCTGTATTTGCGTATAGAATTTAATGAGCTAGCTTGTGTTTGGACAGCCTCTCCTTTTATGGTGTGCTTTAGTTTGCAGAGTAATCACACTGTAAGCACACATTAACAAGCACTGAGAAAGTGAGAATTTTATTTTATCTCAAAATTAACATTGTTTCATTCAAAATGCCGGGGACTTCTAAAGTGGTGTGGGGCACAGCTGACAGCCAGTCTTGTTCCTCAGAGCCTTAGAACTGCTTGCTTATGTGATTTTTTTTATTTTTATTTTTTTATGTCTAGATGTTAGGTTGGGAAGGAAATCTTCAGAGCTTGTATCATGGGTAGAGTTGCCACATTTCTCTTCTGCAGGCTGCCAAAGCTTTGTTACCTTGTTGGCGCTTGTGGAAAGAGGTTCACTGTTGTTGCATTCCTGAGCCTGTCTTGACTTGGGACTCCCCAGACCTAATATCCTCTGATTTGCACAAATAACATCCTGAAGTTTGATGGAATATTTGTGTGTTATTTTTCCATAGATGTACCCTCTAGGCTTGTTTTAAACCTTGCAGCTTTGTGTGCTACCTTAAAGGAACTGCTAAAATCAGGCATTCATTAAGCAGCACAAGGTCAGTATGAAGGTGTGCAATGATTATAGTTAAGATGTCGTTTCTCAAGTGGCTTGAGCAGATCCATCTACGCAGTTCTGTCTAAAGGGCTGACAGGGCTATACCTTTCTTCCTTTGACTCTCGTCCTTCTCCCCACCCCTCCCAAACACACTGCAAGTTCCTGCTTCACCCTTTGTACTGGCACTAGCACATGTCACAACACGGTCACCCAGATCAGCTCTGCAGTTTGACTGAAAATTCATGCCCTAACTACTTGCTGCATTGCTTTTCACCTGAGCTGGAGAGGTGAGTTAGCAAAGCTGCTAAGGCAGACAAGAAAGTGATTCAGCTAAGGCAGGAAAAAGGAGGGGATTTCGATGAGCTTAAGCTGATTGTGAAACTGTCTGTTTACCTCTGAATTTTATTCCTCTGAAGATGCTTATTTGAAGGGAGCACTCTTCAAAGCCCCTCACTGAAAGTCATCCCAAAGTTTGTAAGAGTATAACAGGTATGGCAACTGGGGAAGACCCTGGGAAAAAAAAGGCTGTTATTTTGCTTTGATCATTGGTTTTGCAACTAACAATTGGTTCAAATTTTTTCTAGGGTTTCAATTGCATAGGGAGTCTCCCTGTCTTTGGAGGCATGGAAAGGATCATGGGGATGCATAGTGATATGCCAGAGTTGCTGTCTTTGCTTCATTGCTTGCTTTCTGGTCCACGGACACACTCCCTCCTGCTGTCCCAGACTACTTCTAGGGTTCAGCCTTCACTCAGAAACTTCTGGGCAGATATGTTGCTGGAAAAGTTATTTGGGGATTTGAACTGGCAGAAGTTAAGTGTGTGAAAGAGTAGGTGCAGAGTGCTGGCAATTTGGTTTTGCCAGAGCTTTGGTGTGGTGTGTGAGTGCACGTGTATTCATATGTCCATACCCTCTTCAAATCAAGTGAGGACACATTTATTTAAAGCCCGATAAATGTGGTCATGGCTTCGGGTACTCTTACGATGCAAGGTGAATTTTGAGATGTTACATATGATGGTCATGAAGAAAGAGAATTGGTAATGCCCCGAGACAGGAATGTAGTTTTAATACGTATTTGTCTAATGACCTACTCCTATCTTGAACCAAAACTAACAGCCCTATTTTACAGTAGTGTTTGATGTAAATCCATCCCTGCCAACTTTCCATTTTCATTGCAGCTGAAGGTATAGAGGAGGTTCCACATAGTCCAATATCTTATGTAACTGGACAGTGCTTTCTGGGTAGTAACTATTTTTTTAATGTTTCTAGGGATTTTCTTCCACGAGGTTCTGGAATTGTAACAAGACGACCGTTAGTCCTGCAACTCATCACTGCCAAAACAGGTAACCTCTTTCTCTTTTTGGTTCA